GGCAGAAAGTGAGGAGGAATTAAAGAACCTCTTAATGAGGATGAAAGAGGAGAGTGCAAAAAATTGTCTGAAGCTCAACATAAAAAAAAAAAACCTAAGATCATGTTCACTGGTCCCATCACCTCCTGGGAAATAGAAGGGGAAGCTATGGAGGCAATCACAGATTTTACTTTCTTGGGGTCCATGATCACTGCAGATAGCGACAGCAGCCAGAAAATGAAAATACACCTGCTTCTTGGGAGGAAAGCGATGACAAACCTAGACAGCATCTTAAAAAGCAGAGATATCACCTTGCCAACAAAGGTCCGCATAGTCAAAGTTATGGTTTTTCCAGTAGTGATGTATGGAAGTGAGAGCTGGACCATAAAGAAGGCTGAACCCCGAAGAATTGATGCTTGAAGCTGAGGCTGTAATACTTTGGCCATCTCATGAGAAGAGAAAACTCCCTGGAAAAGACCCTGATGTTGGGAAACTGTGAAGGCAAGAGGAGAAGGGGACGGCAGAGGACGAGATGGTTGGACAGTGTCACCGAAGCTACCAACATGAATTTGACCCAACTCCGGGTGCAGCGGGGCCTGGCGTGCTCTGGTCCATGGGGTCATTGAGAGTTGGACACGACTTAGTAACAACTAAACAACAACAACAAAATCATGTAAATAATATTGGACTTGCTGTGGAAGCAGCACAGATGAATTTTCAGGTTACAATGGATTACATGAATTGAAGGTCAATGTGAGTCAGCCTTTGTTCCTTGACAGATGTAGAGTTTTTTTCCCCTCTGCTGCGGGGGGGGGGCTACCCTGTGTGATCAGTTCTTTTCAAATGAATAGGAGGTGTGACTACAGGTGATGTTCTGGTGATGTACTAAGCTGTGCATGATGTTTTGGACAGCAGGAACACCTTCCGCTGGAATCGTTCACCCTAGATATTCCAAAGTTTTTTTAAAAATTGCTAAGCTTAGGACTAGATCACCTCATCACTGCACTGATTCATTAGTTTAGTGCTAGATCACCTCTTCATGGACAAAAAGAGAGGGAGATAAAATTGATATGAAATGGAAACAACTTGGACAAACTACAGCAGACTATCAGGTTTCTGTGGTATGTGTTTGTACATTATGGACGACTCTGCAAAACTGTCCCTTTTCTCTAATGCCATGCAACACTTTAAACAGCCAATCAACTTTATAATGAACTATAAAAGGATTGGCAGAGGATGAAGACAGAGGAAAGAGGGCTGTGGTATAGACCAAACCATGTCTGATCGAGGGGCCATGGAGACGCTGACACCAAAACAATCCATAGCCTCTGTGTAATCACTTAATCAGCAAAGCTAAATTGCTCTGATTCAGCTTTGGCAGTGTAGCCACAGCCTAACAAGGTTCAGGGGCACGTCTTGGTTGTGTGTCTGACCACACATTGAATCGCACAACAGAGATAAACTCTAACACCACGTTAATAAACAGCAATTAGCTATGGCAAGTTACACAAATCTTGAATAAACACTAGAGATGGGGACAAATAAAAAAATGGCGATTCATTTTGATCTGTTATTTGTTGAGATTAACGAGTCAATGAATATGAATATACAAATATTATTCAATGATTTGACAAATCGATCCATCGATCCATCTGCACTATAAAAGACTATAACACTGCCCCCAATGACCTAGAGACACCAAATTTGCAGGGAAAGCAGGCTTTTGAGCCCCATCGGGGCACTGAGATTAGTTGGCAGCAGCAAAGTAGAGTGTGTTGCCCCATCGGGCACTCAGGCACACGGCAGCCGGAAAGCAGGCTTTTGGGCCTCATTGGGCACTGAGGTAGTTGGCTCTGGTCTTCTTCAGCAATATCAGATTTGCCTGCAAAGGAAAGGTTTTTGCCTCCAGGAGGCAACTGAAGTTGCTTGCAACTTCCAACAGCACCGGCAGCACCGGCAGATGAACAGGGTCGGTGCTACTAACAGCGGTTAATCCACGGGGCCATGGGGCTGTCAGAAACAGATCAGCTCTGCAATCTGAAGCCGGGTGATAGGGCGACGAAGATGCTCGTTTAGAACTAGAAAACTGGGGATTGCTTGCAACTTGGCTTCTGAGACCGCCTGAATATGATAAAGATAACGTTTGGAGGTTTTTTGGGGGGGACTTAGAGAGGCCATCCCTCTTGGTGCAGGTTGCCAGCAGGCAGTCAGGGAGGCAGAAGGTGGAAAAAACAAAGCCGCTGGGACTATGTAACCCAGTAGGCAGTCAGGCAAGCAGAAGATGGAACAAATAGCCCGCTGCGACTATGTAACCCAGCAGGCAGTCAGGGAGGCAGAAAGTGGAACAAACAGCCCACGGGGACTATGTAACCCAGCAGGCAGTCAGGGAGGCAGGTGGAAAAAACAAAGCCGCTGGGACTATGTAACCCAGTAGGCAGTCAGGCAAGCAGAAGATGGAACAAATAGCCCGCTGCGACTATGTAACCCAGCAGGCAGTCAGGGAAGCAGAAGGTGGAACAAACAGCCCACCGGGACTATGTAAGCCAGCAGGCAGTCAGGGATTCCCTGAGAGACAAGAAGCCTCTCTAAAATGAACTTTTGAAAACGGAATAATCCTCCCACCTAGACAACCCGCCCCCCAAATAAGTACTTTTGGAAGAAAAAGGAATGATGGATCCAGCCACCCACCAAATTCCGTGAGACACAGAAGCCTCTCTAAAATGAACTTTTGAAAACTGAATATAAAGGAAAAGAGATTCCACAGTCACACGACAACAGTCTCCCCACAACCAGATGACACACATACACACACACACACACAAGCCTCCAGAAAAAAAGGTTTGATTGATTTTGAAATAAAATTAAGCCCTTCCTTCTGAAGAAGTAGCCTAAGCTGCCTGAAATCCCTCCCCAAATTCCCAGTAAATTTGTTGATGATTGATGATGATGATAAAAAAGAAAAATATAAGTCTTTGCTTTGCTGCTGCAAAAGTGAAATCAGAAGAGCACCAGCGAGCTCTCTGTTTTCACTCCAGAGACCACGAACAGAAGTGGGGAACGGCCGGACGGGAAAAGTTTATATGAAGCATCTGTAAAAGTAGATTCACCTTTCAGCAGCGCTATTGGCTGCCAGAACGCCAATCCAGGATCTCTGTCCTGATTTGCCAGAGCTTCAAATTGCCGCCAGTAAGCGCAGAGAGGGCCCCAAAGGAGTAACGAATATAGATGAATATGAATGGATTGATGAATAAAACTGAGGAAGTATTCGGCAAGCCATATTCGTCCTGATTTAAAATTTTACAAATACGGATCGGCGAATATATGATGAATTGGCTATACTAATCAGAAAAACTGATCCGTTTTTATATTCATCCCCATCTCTAATAAACATCAGTAGGACTCCAGCCAGCAAGTGACTTGAAGAAGTAATGGAAGAGTGCAAGCCTCAGTGTTACTTCCCAAACATAATTCAGTGATAGAGAATCTCCTTTACATGTTCCCCAAATAAGAAGAAGCACTTCACTGCAGGAAGCCAAACACAATTTTTCTCTCTGCGACTGAAATCTTACCATCAAGGGAACATGCATTGTAGTTAACTTTTGCAGGACAGGTGTCTGGAGAAATGCACCCAAAATACTGGAATCATAAGGATGGTTCCTAGCTTACATCACACTTGATTAAAGCTGCCCAAATACAAAAGCAAATGGAACAGCTGAAAACAGTGTCTAACTAGCTGCTAGTTGCTATTCACTATCTTTTTTTTCATCCAGATGTAAACAGGCAAGGATCATTTCCTAGTTTTCATAAAATAAAAACTGAATTCCATGTACCATGTCGCCATTTTCATCTTGGTAAGAAAGCCATGTCTTGAATACTTGGTTATCTATACCTGAAAGATAGTATACCTATATATATATATATTTCTGAGATTTTTCTTTTAACATTTTTAATAATTTTAGACCGTGGATAAGTGAATCAGTAGTTACTGATCCTACAGGTAAGGTGATCCTATTGTAGATGCTGTTATGTGATTAAATTCAAGAGATAATACTATAAAACACCATAAAACTCTTAAAAGATAACACCACATTTTGCTTATTATAGAATTAGATCAGCAATAAGCAATCCTCAGTTCTCTTAACAGTTAGTACCTACCTGTTTATGAAGTAACGTGTGTGTGTCCAGGGAAGGTTACATTCTATCTCTGTGTATTTATGTGGCTTTCTTTGTGAAAATGCAGGTCATTTCCTTCACATGTAAGAGTTTCAGTGTCCTGATGCAAAACATCCTTGTCTGTTAAGTTATCAGACTTTGACTGAATGGCTTCACTTGAGGCCTTTAGAGAGCAAGCAAAATCTCCTTCAGATGTTGCAATCCCAAGTGGTTCTCCTGGTTGATTTTCTTGAGACTTAACCTGGAGAGAATCAAGGAGTGGACATTCATTTTTGATGTCCAGATTCAAAGACTTGCTAGCAGACTTGTTGGAATTACCCTGGGTAAGTGAGCTGGAAATGTTTATGTCCATCTCTTCACTTAAGAAAGAAAAGCCACTAAATTCAGCAGATGATTTAGGGTCATCTATTAAATCCAGAGCTTCACACTTTACCTCACTTACTTCAGGTTCTTCTTTAGCAACATACACTTGCTGTTCAACTCTTTCCTCTTCAGGACAGGCTTCAAAAAAACACTCAATGTTTTCTGCAAAATCCAAAGGTACTGGAGTACTGCTCTTTTCTTCAACATATTTAGTAACTTCACCACAGTCACTATCATGAGAAGAGAGTGAGAGGTAAGAATAAAAATCACCTTTTCTAAGTTGGATTGGCCTGTGAGAATGTTCTAGAACCTTTTCCCTAATCTGGGCTAATGAATGTGGAATGGCCGGCTCACTTTCAGGCTGTGTCTTATTCTTCAACGCAGTTGAGGCCATATCAATTATCTCCATCACAAAGTTATGCACCGAGCAATCTTCCCCATTTCTTTTTTCAATAGCAGCAGATTCACAGTTACAGCATGAATTGCTGTTGCTAATGGGTGCATTTTTGTCTGCTTCATTTGACTTCAAAGATGTAGAGCAATCACAGCCATCTCCAGTAATCCCTGTACTGCTTTGTTGATGGTTTGGCACTGGTTCTAATAATGGTGTATCTGGAGCTGGCATACCCTTACTTTTGATATTGGAATCACATTCTGCAAATGCTTTTTTAAGAGAATGGCCATCAGACGGAAGATCATTTTGATAATCTTTCTGACAGCTTGAAATATTTGACAATTGATACTCTTTAGCATCCAGGTGTGAATCATCTGAACTATCAGTAGATGCTTCACAGACACAACATTCTTTTTCATTTCCTTTACCAAGAAGTGTGCTAATGTTCAGCCCAATGGGTGTGATCTGACCATGTTCTTCTTTGGGACTCTCATGAGTAATTGCCACATTTCCATTCTCCATGTCATCCACCAAGTGATCTTTGGAAACCTTAAAACTATCATTTTTAGTTTGTTTTTCCATCCCTGGCCCATTACTATCTGACAGGTTTTTACGATTGCCATTGTTTTCTGAAAGCTTCCGTATAGAATCATTCAAAAACTTTTCAATGCTCAGTGAATCTTTTGCTTTAGAAGTCTCATCACTTCTTAAATTCTTAGAGCCTTGGATTTCATCATCTTGGTTGCACTTTCTCCTCTCCTTTGTTAGATACAATTTTGGTTTGATCCAAGTATGGAGTTCATTTTTTATGTAGTCAAGTCCTGAAATTAAATTGGTATCTTCATAAATATCCTCATCAGTAGCAATACTGGAATCATCGTCTTCATCTTTAAAGCCCAGCTCTTCCTCAGTCAAGGTGAGCGTAGAACTTGATAGCAAATCACTATCATCTTCATCATCAGTGCAAGCAGAGGTACAGGAAACATTAACAATCATGCTCACGTTGACATCGCTCTCATCAACTATCGACCGATTGAGGTGTTTTCTGAATGATGCATTTGAATCTGGTACTTTATTTCTGTGCAATACAATATCTTCAGAGCACAGAGACAGGTCATCACTGCTGCTTAGCTCAGTGAGAGAAGCAGGTGAATCTTCATTGATAGAGGATGCAATATCTAGTGACAACTGGCCAGTGAAAGACATCCTTTGAGAAGTGCTTTGGAGTGTAATATCAGATATGCTGCGCTTTATTTTTTGATCTAAAGGACTTTGGATATTTTCTAATCGATTCAAAAGATCTAACGTCCTTTTACTGAGTTCTCCAACAGAATCACTGCTTCCACTTAGATCTCCAGAGCCATTGCAACTAAAAAGATCTTCATTACTTTTGTAGGGAGTTAGCCAGCTTTCCAAGGAAGCGCTGCGATGAAGACCATCTCCACTTCTAAAGACAGCTGAGCCAAACAAGTCATTTGTCACAGAGATGGAATCTAAAGAAGAGCTATGAGATAAAGTTGAAAACAATTTTACATTTGTTGTCTCACTTAGTTTCTTCAAATCCTCCAAAAACTCACAGCGTTTGGAATCTGCCTCATCAAACTCCGGTGGCAAAGCAAGCTCATTGCTAGAGGCACCTGCCTTTAGTTCTGCAGGCTGACCATCAGATTTTAAGGGCATTTTATCAAAATAAAAGCCATGAAACAAACTACCCTGTTTGTGTGCCTTTTCTGGACTTGATTGTTTCATGATCATTGGTAGCTTGAATTTTGAATCCTGGAGATATGAATAATCTTGAAATGTAAAGACAGTGTGTTTTTCTTCTTGTGGCCCTTCTTTTGAATGCTCAGGGCTATGTGGGGTAATGCTCTCCAAATCTTTTGCTTTGTCAGTGGACTTTAACTTAGAACTGCTTGAGGACTTGTGGTGGTTCTCTTTGTTCTCCTTTTCAGTATCCTGGTTTATCACCTCAGCTTTTATATTCCCTAGCTGGGAACCTGAAATGTTAATTACAGTATTATTCTGCAGCTCATCTGCATCACTTGTAAAGTAAGTTTCAGAACTGTTGGTGGCTTCTGCCTGACTTTCATCGACTGTTTGATTCTGACTTTCAGAATGCCTGCTCACGTTTCCACGGTGATACATGTAATTCTGTGGTGTTGCCAAAGTAGTGCTTCCCAGCAGGCCTGGCAAATGTTTGGTAGGTGACAATGAAAATTCTTTATTTGTTTGTTTGCTTGAGCATCTAAGACTGAGGGATTCACATGTCTTTTCCGTAAGAGGTAAGTGATTTCTTCCTGATAATTCAACATCGTGGAGGCTATACACTTGATAGACCTGGGGGCCTGGAGATGCTGTGACTCTTGGGCTATTAAGACCATTTTCAAGAACAGTAGAATTTTCTTCTTGCTTTGGACTGGCATTATCATGTAATTCAGATACAGAATTCAGTCTTGTGTCATCCTGCTTTGGTTCTTGATCAAATTCATTGAATTCCTCATTAATGCTAATTAACTTATTGCTTATATCCATTTCATCCCATTCTAGGGCATCTTCACTTGCGCCATTTAGTTCCATTAAGCCAGGATCGATAACATTCAGGGATTCCTGTTTCAGGGGAAAAACAAACAGCAACAGAATAATTAGTTAACACCATCATTGCATTAGATGACTTGCCTTACTCCCATAATCAAAAGACAATATAAAACCCCCTACTCCATGTAACAACAAGAAAACAAAACAAAACATAATCTGAAACAAATAATGACTCATTTGTATTTGGAAGGAAAATAGACTTATGACTTGTTTTTTAAATAGTGTTAAATAAGTGTTGGATAGCTCAGTGGTTTAACCAAAGGCTGGGAATTCAGTTCCCCACTATACCACCTCGACAGGGGCTGGATTTGATTCATAGGATCCCTTCCAGCTCTGCAGTTTTTAAGATGATGATAATGATGAATTGCAAGGAATAAAGCAAAAAACGAAACAAAATCTAAACCTATTGGATGGGAGTGGATAGAATATTGGACATAGGAAACCAAGTTCATATCCTTGCTCAGCTGTAAACCTTATGACTATCTTTGGGCCACCAACCAGTGGCAGTGGCTGCTCAACAGGGAAGAGATGGAGGCAGTGACAGATTTTACTTTCTTGGGCTCCATGATCACTGCAGGTAGGGACAGCAGCCACAAAATTAAAAGACGCCTGCTTCTTGGGAGGAAAGCAATGACAAACCTAGACAGCATCTTAAAAAGCAGAGACATCACCTTGCTGACAAAGGTCAGCATTGTCAAAGCTATGGTTTTTCCAGTAGTGATGTATGGAAGTGAGAGCTGGACCATAAAGAAGGCTGACCACTGAAGAATTGATGCTTTTGAATTGTGGTGCTGGAGGAGATTCTTGAGAGTCCCCTGGACTTCAAGGAGAACAAACCTATCCATTCTAGAGGCAATCAACCCTGAGTGCTCAGTGGAAGGACAGATCCTGAAGCTGAGGCTCCAATATTTTGGCCATCTCATGAGAAGAGAAGACTCCCTGGAAAAGACCTGATATTGAGAAAGTGTGAAGGCAACAGTAGAAGGGGACAACAGAGGATACTGTAAGATGGATGAACAGTGTCACCGAAGCTACCAACATGAATTTGACCCAACTCCAAGAGGCAGTGGAAGACAGGAGGGCCTGGCATGCTCTGGTCCATAGGGTCATGAAGAGTCAGACATGACTTAATGACTAAACAACTACAATCCAGTTGGAGGCTTCACTGAAGTCTAATCCTAAATGGCTTCCCTCTCTAAAACACCACTTCAGAATGTGTTCCAATATGTGTGTTAGTCCAGATAGCAAGTACAGCAGATACATACACACTATATATACCTGTGATAAGCATAAAAACCTCCCAGCAAGAGGTCTCAGCATGAACAAAGTCCCCCAGAAGAACCTGCCAGGAGTAGTGGTTTAATGCTTATGTACTATAAATATTCTTATAGCATTTCCTTTGTGCAGAGTACACTCAGCTGTGCTGAATTTTTTACTTTAAATTCCATTTGTTTGCTTGCTGATAAAGGCAGTATTAATGACTGGTTAGCATGACTAATAAATGAGAGAGACTTTAATTGCGAGAACAATCCATCAGTCTAATCAAATACTACATTAATTTCATATATTGTGTATGCTGACATGACGGCACAAAACTTTTGAATAATTAAGTGAGACTTAAAAAAAAATCTTTTTGCTGCCCTATAGCATTGTTAGCTATATGATATTTCAAGATGAACCTCTTAATCTCTTTTCAGCTAAATTATGAAAGAAAATATGCACATTCATTTTAATGAAGGGGGGATTTCAAATATTGTATTGCAGAAATTAGAAATGACGCCTATCTAACTTATTTGACCTTCTAATCAGACATTTACAGGAGAATGGATTAGATGGCACACATGATACTTTCTAAGCCTGTGATTCTATCACTTAAATAAAGAGAACTCTGAAGCCTATTACATACAAAGGAACATATTGTTTTAAAAACTCCACATGAGTATCTAAAAGCATCATATTCAGTGACACCCCTTACATTTATTCCATATTTCAAAGTTCACAGTAACTTTTTTTTAATTTTTAATTTTTATTTTTTCTAAATCTCTGGGCTAGGAAACTGACTACAGGTTTTAGGTATATTCTGAAGTGGCAAAATCCAGTCCCCTTGTAACTATTATATAAAATGCTCGTCTCTTTCTGGTTGGGAAGATAACATTGCCACCGTAAATCAGCCTTTGCCTGCTTCATTTACTTGGCACATCGTGCCAGTTCAACAGTAAAACTCACACAATGATGTAACCTCCTCTCATTTATCTTAATTGTGGGCTCACTTATTTCAATCCTTTCTATCACTGCACTGCATAGTTTTACATAGAGCATTGTCTAAAAGAAATATATGCATGCCTTCTGCCTTCACAAAATGAAGCTACTCATTTTCCCAGTGGAGCGGCAGCAGGCATGGTTCATAGCTAGTGGGGCTGCAAAGTGACTCATCATCCTATGGCCAGTTTACTCTCCTGATGATCTCAAGGGGCAATGCAGGATTAACAGGCAAGAGGGAGAGAGGGAAAGAAAGAAAGCTCAAGTAGCATATTTTTCTAAGTACAGAAACACATTCTTTCTGTATCTCTGAAGAAAATTAGACACTGTTTCCCACCTACCCCCATTTCTGTAGTTAGTAATTTTTTTCCTCTGCAAATCAGGTGGCTTTCCAGGAATTTCTGAGGTATTCTTCTGGATCTAGACAGGCCTCAAAAACTCACAGGAAACAAATAAGTTATAAGAAGATTATCAGAAGCCCAAAGTACCTGACAAATTGTAATTATCTGTTTTTATATAGTAGCAATTTACATGGCTGTTTTGCATGGTTCATGGTTTATCTTATCCTAAAAGCAATCAACTAAGTTAGGTTTAGTTGAAAAGTGATGGCTGGCTATAGAGAACAAGTAACCTTTGTGACTAAAGAGAGATTTGGACCTTTTCCAAGTCCAACACTCCAACTTTATGATTCTATTGTCTTCTTCAGATCAGTGGTGACTATATAAATGATGCCAAGTCTAAAACAAACTGGTAGACAAACAGTGCAAAAATTAATGTGCTTAATTTGCATAACATGAAAAAAATACATTATGCAAATTTATATATTATTCAATTTGGATGGATTTGTATAATTATAATTTGCATAATATGCAATTAGGCTATCTGAATGTGGAGAACTAGAATATGGCGGACCTTTCTCCACCTTTATAGGATGTGAAGATCTGATCTATTATTAGTTATTTGTTTTATTTATATGCTGCATTTCTCCCAACAAGGGACCCAAAGCAGCTCACAACATTAAAATTCACACAATTAAAAACACAATAAGTTAAATAGTAAAAGACAAATTAAACAATATATGATTTAAAATTAAATTAAAATATTAAAACACGAACATATGGAAAAGATTAAACTTATCTGCTAATATGGGGTTCAGGGATTCAGTTGTAATTGTTAAAAGCCTGCCTGAAGAGATGGGTCTTTAGCTTTTTTTGGAAGGATAACAGGGAAGAGGCCATCCTGATCTTCTGAGGGAGAGTGTTCCATAGTCTGGGAGACAAGGCCCTCTCCCGTGTCCCCATCAGCTGTGCTTGTGCTGGCAATGGGACTGAGAGGAGGGCCTCCTCTGCTGATCCTAATCACTAAGAAGGAGCATATAGGGAGATATGATCCTTCAGGTAGCCTGGACTCAAGCTGTACAAGGCTTTATAGGTAATGACCAGCATTTTGAATTGGGCCTGAAAACGGACTGGGAGCCAGTACAGTTCTTGTAACAGGTGCGTTATATGCTCCCTGTAGCTGACCCCAGTCGGTAGTCTGGCTGCAGAGTTTTTGCACCAGCTAAAGTTTCCAAACCATCTTCAAAGGCAGCCCCACATAGAGCATGTTACAGTAATCCAAATGAGATGTAGCTAAGGCATGTGTCACTGTAGCCAAATCCGACATCTCAAGGAATGGGTGCAGCTGGAGCTTTAGCTGTGCAAATGCACTCCTGGCCACCACCAAGACCTGGGCATCTAAGCTTAGGGATGAATCCATAAATACACCCAAGCTACGGACCTGTGTTTTCAGGGGGAGTGTAACCCCATCCAGCACAGGTACTATCCCTATTCCCTCATCTGCCTTCCAAATAACCAGGAGTACCTCAGTCTTGTCTGGATTAAGTTTCAGTTTCTTTGCCCTCATCTAGCCCATTACTGATGGCAAGCACTGGTTTAGAGTCAAAACAGCTTCCCTAGAATTAGGTGTAAAGGAGAGATAGAGTTGGGTGTCATCCATATAGTGTAGATGTTAAAAGCATGGCTGACAAAGGAGAACCCACAGGCCAATGGCCAGGGTGTTGAGCAGGAGTCACCTAGCACCACCTTCTGAGTTCTCCCCTCTAGGAAGGACTGGAGCCACTCTAAAACGGTGCCTCCAAGTCCCATCCCAGAGAGACAGCCCAGAAAGATACCACGGTTGACAGCATCAAAAGTCACTTAGAGATCCAGCAGAACCAACAGGGACACACTCCCCCTGTCCAGTTCCCAGTGTAGGTAATCCACTCTGTCCCTTAGCCAGGCCTGAAACCAGATTGAAATAGATCTAGATAATCCGCTTCTTCCAGGAATCCCTGGAGCTGAGAAACCACCACACGCTCCAGTACCTTGCCCAGGAGTGGGATGTTTGAGACTGGTAGGTAGTTATTCAATACACTGGGATCGAGGGAGGGCATCTTCAGTAGCAGTCTTATTACTGCCTCTTTTAAGCAAGCAGGGATCCTATCCTGCTGCAAGGAGGCATTTACTACTCCCTGTAACCAATCAGCCATTCCTCCTCTGGCTGCCTTTATGAACCAGGAATGGTAGGTGTCCAGGCACACATGTGGTGGCATTCACCTCTCCAGGAATTCTGTCCATCATCAGGCTGCACCAACTGAAAAGTATCCATTAAAACAGGACAAGCCGGGGCCAAAGTTACATCTACTGGGTCTGTATCAATTACAGCGCCCAAATCAGAGTGGATCCAAGCGACTTTTTCTGCAAAGTGTCGTG